GGCCTCTTGGAAGGCCCTTGGGGCGTCTTGGAGGCCTCTTGGGCTGTCTTGGGGCCCTGTTGGGCGTCTTCGGGCGATCTTTGGCCGTCTCGGGGCCCTCTTGGACCGTCTTGGAGGCTTCTTGGGGACCTCTTGGCCCGTCCTGGGGCCCTGTAACAGAACTCCGGCATCTCTGGCCCGACCTTGCCGGGACCTTGCCGGGGTACTTTTCGTCCGGGGACCCCCAGGGGCCGCCCCGCGCGCGCGAACTAGAAATACTGTTAACCAGGTACCGGATATCTTAGCACGCCCTGGCCCGTTGGGCCGGCGAATTTGTGTGTCCCAGTTCCCTTTCATATGTGTTGGCGAGCCCGGCGGCCCTCGGGCTTGTGCGCGCCGTCGGTGTTCGTTGGGGCCTGCGGCTCGCCGCCCATGCGGCCCTGGTGGTGACCCTGCGCGTGGGAGCCCCTGAGATGGCCTCGATCCGCGAGACCGTGCCCCGGCTGGATGGGCCTGCTGCGGACGGCTGGGCGCTGGGGGCCGCGCAGGGCGCCACGGCGGCAATCCAGGCCAGCTACGAGGGGCCTTATCAGAGCGCGCTGCGGCAGCACGACCTCGAGGCCGTGTGGCAAACACTACACCCTGCGATGCGCACGCGGCTGTCAGCCCAGCTTGGCAGGACGACCGTGGCTGAGCGGCCGCACGCCGCCGCCTCAATGAAGGCAGAGCGGCCTGGTGCGCGAGGCGCAGGCGGCGAGGCTGCCGATGCTGCTGCTGACGCGTCGATGCTACGGCGGCGGCGTATGCGCAGCCTCTTGCACGCGCAGCGCCATGGTACCGCTGCCGCGCGCCAGGCAGCATATGGCATGCTGCAGGCATTGCGTGCCTCTGATGCTGGGAACGCTGGTTGGGCATCCGCGTTCGCCCGCCTGACGGTGGCCTCAGAGATCCCCCTCGCGCTCTTGCGACGCGCCGGGGGCGAGTGGAAGGGCGCGCAGGGTGCCGGCCGGCAGCGGCGCCAGGAGGAGTGGCGCAAGTGGGTGCAAGACTCGTTGGCCAACTGCCAGGGTCGGCTCTACCGCTGGATCCGCGGCGGGGGAACCGTGGAAGCCGAGTTGGTGCCCGCGCCGTTGGCGGCTGCTGCGGCGGCCGCGGCTGCGCCCGAGCTGGCGGTTGGTCACCGGCTGTGGTTGCTGGCGCTGCAGGGTGGCCCAGCAGCGCGGCTCCGATGCTTCGAGGGACCCTGGCGCGCGTTGTGGCAGCAGTCAGCGGCGGCCCCTGTCCCAGACGCCTGGCAGCGTGAGCTGGGCGGGCTGCCGGCATTCCCCGACGCGCCGGCATGGGCTGCGGACTTGGTGGGCGCTCTGCTGAAGGCGATGCCGAAACGCAAAAAGACGGGCCTGGGCGCGTGGCTCGTGAGCGAGCTCCGGCTGCTACCTGCAGAGCTGCGCGAGTGGATTGCCCAACTCTTCGACGAAGTGGAGTCGCAAGGGGCGTGGCCGCTTGAGCTCGTGGAGCCAGAGGGGCTCCTGCTGCCGAAGCCTGGTGGCGGAGGCGGTCCTTTGGAGCGTCGGCCTATCTGGCTGCTCCCGGTTCTGTACCGTCTGTGGGCGGCGGGCCGCGCTCGCTTGTTCGCCCAGTGGAGGTGCAGCTGGGAGGGCGCAGAGTGGCGGCAAGGCGCGGAAGAACTCGCGTGGGAGCTGGCCCTCGAATTGGAGGCGGCCGACGCCTTGTCGGAAGGTCGTCGGCGCGGCGCTGCATTGGCGCGAGGCTTATGACCAGGTCGGCCTCCGGACCCTCCCGACGCTCCTTGCGCGTGCTGGGGTCCCGGACCGAGTGTCGAAACCAGCGATGGCTGTCTACGCCGCCCGCAGGCGTGTTCGGGTGGGCAAGGCCATCGGCGAATCGTGGCTGCCTTCCCGGGGCCTTCTTCCAGGCTGCCCGTTAGCGGTGTTCTTTCTGGCGGTGTTGACCTAGCCATGGATGAAAGCCACTGGCCGGCTGGACGACCGGCTGCGCCGGCGCGTCTATGTGGATGACTTCGCGCTTTGGGCGCGGACGGCGGCAGAGGACAGCGCGCCGCCGCCGAGGCGGTGCGAGACGCGCTGCGCCTCACTACCTCGTTCGAGGCAGCGATGGGGTGGACACTTAATCGCGCCAGGAGCTGGCAGTTCGCGAGCAGCAGGGACTTTCGGCGTTGGCTTGCGGAACAGGTCCCGGACATCCAGGCTAGCCCTGAGTTTCGGGACCTGGGCGTCGCCGCCACAGCTGGCCGGGCCAGGCGCTGCGCGGTCGCGGCGGCGCGGGTGCATGGGGCGTCCGCGCGTTTCGCCCGACTCGGCCGCTTGCCGCTCCGCTTCAGCAGCCGCTGCCTGCTTGGCGCTGCAGCTGGCGCGGCGGCGGGCACGTGCGGCGCAGCTTGTGGGCGGCCTCCGGTTTGCGAGTTGGCCGGCCTGCGTACCGCGGCGAAGAGGTCGGTTTGCCGCGGCGGTCTGCGCGCCTCGGCGGGGATCGTTTTCGGCGTCCTGGCGCCGAGCTGGCGCCTCGACCCGCTGGCGGTGACAGTGCAGTGCTCGCGCCGCTGTGGCAGGCTGCCAAGGCCCTCCGACGCCGGCGTCTCCCTGGCGATCTCTGGAGGGAGGCCGCGGGCGCCATGGCTGCCAGGCACGGCCGGCGCTTCGGCCCGATCGCCGCCGCGATCCGCAGCATGGCTGAGCTGCGCCTGGGCGCGGATGTCGAAGCCTGGATGGGCATCCCCGCCGCCCCAGACGGCTGGCGCCCAGCAGCCCGCGCCCTTCCTGATGCGCGCGCGGTGTTGTCGGAAGCCTGGGGGCGGCGAGAGGCCCGCGAGGTCGCGCGGCGCCGGGCCGATTTTCAAAGCCTGGCGGGGGGGATCGACGGCTGGGCGACGCGCCAGCTCCTGGAGTCCGGGAAGCTGGCGCGCGACGCCGCTGGCGCGCTACGGACGGTGATCTCTAACAATGTGATCGCGGAGTTTGTGGCGGCAAAGTGGGGGCGGCCGCCAGCGTGCCCTCATTGCGGCGCCGCTGTGGAGGACCTCGAGCACCGGCTGTGGCTCTGCCCGCAGTGGGAGACCACCCGCGCCGCTTCGTTGGCGTGCAGCGGCTTCACCCTGGCGGCCGCCCGCGCCTGCCTGCCAACCGAGGTCGCGCGCGCAGCGGTGCTGCCACTGGGCGCCCACCTGGGGGCCCTGGCGAGCGACGCCCAGCAGGCGCTCCAGCTGCCGCCGCTGCCAGACCCCGCCGCGCCAGAGCTGCCGCAGCGGAGGGTCCGCGCTTGGACTGGCGGTTCTTGCCTGGGCCCAGCCGACCCGCTGCTCGCTCGAGCGGGCTGGGGCGCGCGCCATGAAGGCCTCCCCGTCGGGCGCCTCGACAGCCGCGGCCCTGTGGACGGCCGCCAGACGGCGCAGCGCGCGGAGCTTTGGGCTGCCGCGCGCGCGCAGCCTGGCCGGGGCGCCAGTAGACGTCGTCACTGGCTCCCGATTCGTCGCGCGTGGGGTTGTCGCGCTGCGCGGCGGCGCGAACCCGATGAATTGGCGTCATGCTGATTTGTGGGAGGCGGTTGCGCCGCTCTGCCGCTCCGGGCTGCTGCGGGCTCGCTGGGTGAAAGCTCACTTAACCCAGGCGGAGGCTGCCGACCGGGGCATCTCGGCGGAGGACTGGGCTGGGAACGACGCGGCGAACACTTTGGCTGGCGTGCTGCAAAGGCCCAGCTCCCTCCGCTGGCGTTCCTCCAGCAGCGCTCGCGGCAGTGGGGGGCGCTCGCGGCGGTCCAGCGCGCGGCGGCCGCCGTGGAGCTGGCAGCCCTGATGGCCAACCGCGGCCGCGACGGCCCAGCTGGGCCCAGAGTCTTGCCCCGCTGGGTGGCGCCAGGCCGCCGCCGCAGACGGGCGCCGCGAGAGGGGGATGCGGCGGCAGCCGCCGCCGCCGCAGCGCCGCGGGCTCGGGCGCGGCCTGGGCCGCCAGCGGTTGCCGCGCCCCCCGGGCACCCCCGCCCTGGGCAGGCGGCCGCGGCGAGGGCGTTGTTTGAAGGCGACGCCTGGCAACCGCATGTGGCGGTGCAGGGCCCGGCGTGGGTCGCTTGCCTGATGTGCGGGTGCTGGGCGCCGTGCTGGCGGCGGCTCGCGAGCCGGCCCTGCGGCGGCTGGGCTCCCGCGTTGCCGCCGCGGGCCGCCATGCTGCTCTTGCTGCCTGCGGAGCCCGCTGGCGGCCGCGACGCCGAGTGGCGCGCGGCCCTGCGGGCTCGTCTGCAAGAGCGGCCGGGCGCCCCTGACTAATTGGGTGGGCGCGCGCCGGGGCCGCCCCGAGGGCGGCGGCGCGGCCGCTGTTGTTCCACCTCTGCCTCCCGCCCCTCCCCCCTTCTCTTTGTCCCCACCTTGCCACTGGGCTCCTGCGCGCTGGTAAGAGTGTTCTGACCAGAATTCCGAGGCGAATTTGCAAGTGGCGACGAGGGCCTCCCATGAGTCCCCAAAATGGCAAAACGACGTCGTCGCCGTCGTCGTCGTCGTCGTCGTCGTCGTCGTCGTCGTCGTCGTCGTCGTCGTCGTCGCCACCGCCGCCATCATCTTGGTTGTCGTCGTCGTCCTCGTCGTCGTCGTCGTCGTCGTCGTCGTCGTCGTCGTCGTTGTCGTCGTCGTCGTCGTCGCCGCCGCCGCCACCGTCGTCGTCGTCGTCGTCGTCGTCGTCGTCGTCGTCGTCGTCGTCGTCGTCGTTGCCGCCGCCGCCGCCGCTGCCGCCGTCGTCGTCGTCGTCGTCGTCGTCGTCGTCGTCGTCGTCGTCGTCGTCGTCGTCGTCGTCTTAGTGGTCGTCGTCTTAGTAGTCGTCGTCTTAGTGGTCGTCGTCGTCGTCGTCGTTTTTGTCCTCGTCGTCGCCGCCGTTGTCATCGTCGTTGTCGTCGTCGTCGTCGCCGTCGTCGTCGTCGTCGTCGTCGTCGTCGTCGTCGTCGTCGTCGTCCTCGTTGTCGTCGTCGTCGTCGTCGCCCCGACGGCCGGCCAGCATGAGGTTTTCGCACATGGTCACCCAGAGCTGCGGCGGCCTGCCCTCGCAGGCCGCGGAACGGAAGAAGCAGGCGCGGCCCACGCCGTTTTTTTGGCTGCCCGGGCGGCAGGCTCCCATCGATGTCCTCGCGTCTTGTGCAAGGGTCGTCCTCGGAAGGTTTTCGGTCGTCCCCGCGTCGTGTGGGCAGAGTGAGCAGAGGTCGTGGGCAAGGGTCGTCCCCTCTGCAGCCTCGGGATGCTCTCCAGCCTCGGGGTTCTTGGAGGTCTCCCAGCCTCGGGATGCACTCCAGCAGCTGCTCCTGGCCAGGGGCGTTCCGAGGGTGCCCGACTCGTCCCGCACCTGGCGACACAGAAAACTTCTCGGAAGGCCGGGGGGCTTCCGAGAAGCGCCGCCGCCTTTGAGAAGGCCTGCCTCCTTCTCATCTCCCTCCCCTCGCTCGCCGCCGACGGGAACCCTCCGCTCCTCCGGGAGAACGCCAGACAGCAAGCGAAGACCTGGGAGAGAGGGTGGCCGCGCTGGAGCGCCAGGCCGGCTCGAGGGCGCGCGCGCTATGGCATCAAGCCGCGCCCAGCTCACGCCGGCGTGCCAGGGCGTGGAGGCGGACGGGATGGCGACTGCCCTCAGAGCTCCTGGAGGGGGAGGAGGAGTGATGAGGAGCGGTGAGTGGGATGATGAGTGATGATCAGGGCAGGGTGAGATAACGGTAGTTTGCCTTCGGGGGGGGCCCTCTTCGCCACGGCTGGACGCAGCTCGAAAACCTGGTGCGCTCGGATCCTAGAAGGGGGCCCGGGACCGATCTGAGCTGCCGTTGTTTCAATTTTCGGGGCTCAGGAGACGGGGGTTAATGCAAACGGGGGTCAGCCAGGGCACCGAATCCTGCAGGGTCCTGCGAAGACACCCTCTGACTGACCAGGGTTAGCGAGCCGCTCGTGGCCGCGAGGCGACCGCGCATATTGGTTGACTGGGGTTTGCGAAGCCCTGCGTTGCAGTTTTTGTTTCCTGTATTGCAGTTTTTTGGTTTCCTGCTGACCCGGGTTTTGATTGACCCGGGTCAGAAGATCCCCGATTTGCCCTGTTCCAGGAGGAGGAGTAGGAGGAGGAGGAGGAGGAGGAGGAGGAGGAAAAGGAGGAAGAGGAGGAGGAGGAGGAGGAGGGGGAGGGGGAGGAGAAGGAGCAAGAGGAGGAGGATCAATAGGAGGAGGACGAGGAGGAGGAGAAGAGGAGGAAGATTAGGAGCAGGAGCAGGAGCAGGAGTGGGAGGAACAGGAGAAGCAGGAGCAGGATAAGAAGCAGTACGTGCAGGCGGCAGCGCGCTGCCATTGTCTCCATTCGCCCTGCTCCGAGATGATGATGAGGAGGACGAGGAGGAGGAGGAAGATGATGATGATGATGATGAGACGGAGGAGGAGAAAGAGGAGGAGAAGGAGGAGGAGGAGCAACAGGAAGAGGAGGAGGAGAAGCAGGACGAGGAGTAGGAGCAGGAGGAAGAAGAGGAGGAAGAGGAGGATGAGGTGGCGGATGATCATGATGATGCTGCTGCTGATGATGATGATGATGCTGATGATGATGATGATGATGATGATGATGCTGCTGCTGCTGCTGCTGCTGCTGATGATGATGATGATGATGATGATGATGCTGCTGATGATGATGATGATGATGATGATGCTGATGATGATGATGATGATGATGATGATGATGATGATGATGTGGTGGTGTGGTGATGATGATGATGATGATGATGATGATGATGATGATGATGATGATGATGATGATGATGATGATGATGATGATGCTGTGCTGCTGCTGATGCTGTGATGATGATGATGATGATGATGATGATGATGATGATGATGATGATGAATGATGATGATGATGATGATGATGATGATGATGATGATGATGATGATGATGATGATGATGATGATGATGATGATGATGATGATGATGATGATGTTGATGATGATGATGATGATGATGATGATGATGATGATGATGAATGATGATGATGATGATGATGATGATGATGATGATGATGATGATGATGATGATGATGATGATGATGATGATGATGATGATGATGATGATGATGATGATGATGATGATGATGATGATGATGATGATGATGATGATGATGATGATGATGATGATGATGATGATGATGATGATGATGATGATGATGATGATGATGATGATGATGATGATGATGATGATGATGATGATGATGATTGGGATGTGCGTCACATTATCGCTCCTCGATCGTAGCCGCCCCGACGTCTTTTTGGCTCAAGCTGCTTTGGCTCAGCGAGCCAAACCAGGGTGAATGCTTCGCTCCGGCCCCTTCGCCGCGATCGCCGCCTCGCTGGGCGCCTTCGTGGGCTCGTGGCTGGGCTCCCCCGAGCCGGCGCCGCCGGCCGCCGACTCCCGGGTCGGCCACTGCACGTGGGAGGAGGCCGCCTGCCCTCCGTGCCCCACGTGCGCGCCGCCGGCGTGTCCGGCCTGCCCGACGCCGGTCGTCCCGGCGTGCCCGGCGCCCGTGGTGCCGGCCTGCCCGTCTCTCAGCTGCGGGGGCGGCTGGGCGGGCGCGTGGTGGGCGTTCGGCGCCCTATTGATCGGCGCGCTCGGCCTGCTCGGGGCCCGCGCCTGCCGGCTGTGGGGACACGGCCGCTTCGCTGGGGCTGCCGCGGGCGGCGCCAGCTTTGGAGAGGGCCCCGCCGCCGCCCTCGAGCTTCCTGAGATAGGTCGTCTTCCTCGGCCTGCTCTGGGCGCTCCTCTGGCTCTTCCGGCTGCGGGCTCGACGCCGTCGCCGTCGGGGTCGACGACACCTTCGGAGATTGAGATCTGGCGGCCGCGCAGCCGCAGGACGTGAAGGCGGCTCGCCAGAATGCGCTGGACATCGAGCCACCCCAAGTGGCCGTCAACTACGACGACGACCCCAACTACAGGTGGCACCACCGCGTCCTCCTGGCGAAGCTCACGGAGGTCGCGAAGTGGGCGGGGGCGACGCCGACCCACTCGGTCCAGGTGGTCGGCCTCGCCGTGCACCAGGTCGTGCCCTTCAGGCGCGGCTGCCCTGTGCCGGACAGGGTCAGGAACAACGTGTGCCTCTTCGACCCCCTCACGGAGGAGGAGCTCGGGGATCTGCAGCGCCAGGCCAACGCGCTCGCGGCTCTCCTGGGCGGCGTGGCACCGGCGCCCGGAGCGGCGCAGGCGCAGTGGGTGGTGGCCGACCCCGGCTTGGACTCGTTCGGGGAGGCCGTGGCGGTGCCCATCACCCTCGACCCAGCGTGGTTCGTCCAGAAGGGCTCGGCCGGGCTGGCGCTGATCGACGACGACAGGTGGACAGCGGTCGAGCGGGTGCAGATCGCGGACCTGAGCGCGTGGCTCGATGAGAAGCGCTCGGGGGCCGGCCGCGACCCCAGAGTGCTGGCGATCGAACGAGATGCTCGCGGCCACCGGGCGCTCAACTTCCGCGACGCCCTCGCAGAGATGAAGGAACGCCGGCCTGCTGCCGCTGTTGCTGCTGGCTCTGCGGGCTCGGCGGCCGCGGGCGACGACTGGCCGTTCCGCGGCCCCTCGGCGGCGGTCGAATTGCTGACGAACGTCCGGGCCAGCGGGGAGGACCCCTCGGCGTACCACGAGCACTGGGTTCGCTCGTCGGGGATCGCCCGGGAGAGTGCGGTCGCGCACCACCACGCGTCGCTGGTCTCGATCCTGCACCACCTGGTGTGCTTCGACCAGGTCGACGCGTGCCAGCTGGCGGGCGCCGAGGCCCTCGCCCGACGGGTGCTCTTCCTGGAGCGGGGCGTCCACCGCAACCCCAAGGCGCCCGACTCCAGAGGCTTGGACGTCATGCTGGCGAGCCGTCTGGACTCAGGCGCGCCAGTCACGACGGGGGACTTCGCAAAGTTCAACCTTGAAGCTGCAGAGGCTCTTCGCCGAGGAGACCGGCAAGAGGGGCCCGCCCGGAGGAGGCAAGTCACAGGAGGCGGGGGCTTTGCCTCTGCCCTGGCGCCGGCTGCGCGCGCGGGTCCTCGCCGGGCTTGCTGCCGCGCGGGATGGCGCCTCGCCCTCCTCGGGGTGCTTTTCCCGTGGTGCTTCCGCATGGCACCCGGGGGCAACGGTCGGCCGCCGCTGCCGACGAGTTCGGCGCGCTGGACTGGAATGGGCGTGAGCTGGCCATCGATGCTGCAGCCTCGCTCAACGCTCTGGCGAGCGCCCGGGCCAAGGGCCTTCTGCCGCCGCGGAGGCCTGACCACCGCCCGCCAGGAGGCCAGCTCCCGCTGTGCCAGCAGGCCATCTGGCGACGCCTGGGGACCGCGGCCGCCGCCGCTGGGGCCAGGCCCAACGAGTTTGATTTGTGCCCAGGCGGGGCGCTCAAGGAGATTCTCAAAACGAAGGACTTGTACGACCCGGACGTCTCGCTCAGCGTCGCGCCCTACGACAGCGCGAAGCTCACGGTCACGCGGGGCGGGCTCGTGCCGCGGAACACCGTGGACCTCGTTGACGAAGAGGCCCGGAAGTACCTTCTCCACCCCGAGCGCGTCGCTCTGCCCTCCGACGAGATCCCGGAGGCGCCGACCCAGCCGCACTGGGACCAACGGCTACTACGCGGCCGCGGCCAGCTCGACGACCTGCTCGGGAAGTTGGAAGTGGCGGGGCTCGTCGCGTACAGGAGGGAGGTGTGCTCGCGGGTGGGCATCTTTTTCGTGCAAAAGAAGACAGGGATGCTGCGCATGGTGCTGGGCTGCATCCCAGCCAACGCGCTGCGCAAGCGGGCGCCCCACTCGCGCCTTGCCACCAACAGCGCGATGGCGTCTTCGGTGCTCGACCCGGCCTACGTGGGCGACGCGCCCGCGGATGGCTCCTCGCTGTGGGGCGCCTCGGTTGACTTGCAGGACGGCTTCTACCAGTTCTTGGCGCCGACGGTGTCTGTCGCACTACTTCGGCCTGGGGCGCGTCAAGCTCGCCGGTGACATCGGCGTCGACTCGGTCTACGACCCAGAGGTCGGGCATGAGGTCCCTGTCTCGCCGGAGACCCCGCTGGGGGCGTGCTTCGGCGGGCTGCCGATGGGCTGGAGCTGGGCGCTCTACTTCTGCCACAGCGCCGTCTCGCTGGCGTGCCGCCGCGCCCAGGAGGCGCTGGGCCTGCCCGACGGTGCTGGTGGGCGACCGACAGCCCCCGCCCCCGCTGGGCGCGGGCGCCGCCGTCTGCGCGCCGTGCGTGGACAACGCCAACGTCCTCGGCTCGGACAAGATGGCCGTGGCCGCGCTGCGCCAGAAGGTGGTGGACGAGCTCGTGCGCGCCGGCTTCGTGGTCCACGAGCGGGTCGACCCCGCGCAGGACTTCGAGGCCATCGGGCTGCTGTTCGACGGGGCCCGGCGCTGGGTGCGCCAGAAGCCGGCGCGCTCCTGGCGCCTCTGGCTCGCCCTCGGCGAGGTCGCCCGCAGGAGGTCGCTCAGCCGGGACCACGCGCGGCAATTCCTCGGCCATCTCGTGCACCACTTCAGCCTGCGGCGGTGCGCCCTCGCCTGTTTCGGTGAGGCGTGCCGTTTCGTGGGCTCTGGGCGCGAAGTGGTCAGGCTGCCGTCCGCGGTGCTGGATGAGCT